ATTCTGGCTGACATTCTCAACAGAGAGGCCAAAGGTCTGAACGGGTCATGGAGACTGAAATCCCCACTACAGCTCACTACTGCTGTAGTGGCCTGAGATCCACTGGTTGAGGGTGGGGTATGGAAAAGGCCTGCATTGCTCTGACCTCTGTGGTTGATTAAAGAGAACTTTCCTAGGGTCAGCCTGCAGCATTTAAAATCAAACTGAGTATATGAGTCCCACATCCATGAACTCAATAATTTTCACAAGAATCAGGGATTGTAACCAGATTCCAAAGTAGGTAATAACATTCAGTCTCCTTAAATTGCCTCTGCTAGTTCAGTTCGATGTGGTATTGCTCTTACCCTGATCCCAGACACTGTTCATAAAACAAAATCCAAAGGACTAACATGACATGCAATGAGACCAATGTCATATGCTAATAATGCTATCATTCCTTTAGGTAGCTGTTGTTCTACCAGACCTCGTTAGCCCCTCTCATTTAATGGGAAATCTTATTTTGTGCCTTATTTGGTGCACCCTCAACTCTCATTGATTTTCTTGGAAATTGAGGGCACTCAGTACCTTAAAAGGATCAGACTCCTTATACTGTAAGCTGAAATTTTTAAATACAGGAGCCTGAAGGCAGGCTTCTGAGTCTGTATTCAGGCAATTAAATAAGTACTCTCATTTTCAAACTACTGAGCACTTAGCAGCTCTCACTCAACTCAACTGTGGGCTGATGGACACTTACAAGAATCAGGTCATTTATTTATATAGACCAGCGGTTCCCAACCTTTTCCAGAGGGGATCCATTTTGACAATTCAGGAAGATTTGGTGACCCAGGGCAATTCAAAAAAATGTGTGAATGGTTCCTTAAGAGTCACCTGGGGAAACACCTGGCGACCCTTTTGAAATGTAATGGTGACCCATATTTGGGTCCCAACCCTGACATAGACCTAACTTTGACACATAGATATTGTCTTGGTTAAACTCCTTGGGACACAGAACTGTTATCTGATTTGTCTGTAAAACACCTTGCACATTTATGGAAATAAATCATATTTCTTCCTTCCCCTGCCAGGAACACCTTTATGTAACGCTATTGGTGCAGCATTCCACCCCAGAGGCAGCTGCATTTCAGCCTTGGGTAAACAATCATAAAATTGTAGAATCACAGGACTGAAAGAGACCTTGAAAGGTCATCTAATCCAATACCTTGTACTCATAGCAGGATTAAATATTATTTAGACCAGTGGTGGGGGACCTTTTTTCGATTGGGGACCACTGACGCACAGAAAAATCAGTTGAGGGTCACTCACTGATCTGGCGCCTAACAAAAACACACACACACAAAACCCAAAACAAAAGAAAACCTAAAACCCTGGCTCCCAACAAGCTCTGGCCTTCGCTCACGCTCCAGCCCCATCTCCAGCTTACTTGGATTTGGCCTGAGGGCTGAGCCAGCATTCACACTGCAGCCCCATGGCGAGGGGGGGGACACCAAGACTTGCCTCTAGGCTGTAGCATGAGCTCAGACCGTGGCAGGAGGAAGCCACGAACCTAATTGCAGTCTGGTTCTAAGTAGATCAAAGGCCAGATCCAACCCTTTGGCCTAGGTTCACCTGATCTAGACCATTGTTGATCCAATCCAAATAAACAAGTAGCTACACCACCACCACCACAAAAAACAAACAAACAAACAAACAAACCCCAGCAAACCATACACTCCCTCCCCCTGGATTTATCTTCTGTATATGTATCTTTTAGACTGCAAGGGCAATGATTGTCTTAATTTGTGTGCCTAGAACAGTACTGAATACTCTGCCAACAATTAATAAACAAACAAAAATTAAGGACAGGCCTCATACACCATTCCGCCTTGCAAAACTGTCATATTTACCAGTTCAGCCACAAAATCTAAAAACCCATCCTTTATCAGGATGATAAACAAGAATGAAAACACAAATCTTTTATACATGCTTTAAAATATTACTTGCTGTGGACACGTAGAATTTTGCAAGGCTGGCATGTACATTCAGTAAAGTGCTTTGACATCTGTCTGAACCAAACGCACTAGAAAAATGTCAAGTCATTATTGTAAGAACTGGGGCAGAGGAAGGTAAATTAACCCCAAGAGCAAGAAGAATCAGTGAACCCCTTTGAGCTTACAAAGGCCAAAATGCCTGTTATTGCCTTCCTCAAAGCAGATGAATTGCAAAACTAGGGAGCAACAAGTGAGAGGGCATCTTATAGCATCTCCAGAACATAAACATTATGATTTCAGTCTTCCTCTGTAAACTCACCATGCCACACTAAGAACTGGAGAGGTCAAAATGCAGTGGCAAAGGTGAGGTGGGGTGATCTGAAACTCCTTCGTCTAAGTTTACTGTCCAGTTACACCAAGTCTCACAGAAGTAGCTGTGTTAGTCTTTAGCTGCAAGAACAAGTAGTTCTGTGGCATTTTAAAGACTAACAAATTTATCTGGGCATAAGCTTTTGTGGGTAAAAACCATTTTGTCAGTTGCATCATGGGTTTTTACCCAGGAAAGGTAAATAAATCTGCTTCGCTTTAAGGTGCCACAGAACTCCTTGCTGTTTTTGCAGTTACACCAAAGAATCCTTCTCTATGCCCATTGTTGAATTCTCCCGTAACTGTATATTTTCTTACTGGAGTCTGAGCTGATATCTGTCACAGCAAGTGATCCTTTAGCCTTTGATTTACTTTCAATTGTCTCTGGAGAATGAATTTATGCTAGTGTCCTGAATGGGGAAAGGGATACCTCAGACTGGGATTTATATGGGGTTGTCTTTGGGGTGCTACATCTGCTAAAGAGATCTGCATTAGTTGTTGGGTTTTTTACATGAAGTCTCTTCTGGACTTGATTTCCCAGGGAATGACCTAGGGCAACTGTTTTCTGGGGAAGGGGAAAGAGCACTGTGGTAGAGTCAAAGATTCCTTGGTGTGGGATTTAACTATCCCCATTTTCATAAGGCAGGGGGGCCTATACTCCAAGACACAAGCATCAGGATTCATATTCCCAGCCCTTAAAAAGACGAGGTTCCACATGTGATGGATACTAAGCAATGGAATGGAGCCTCTTTTCAGAGTGGTTTCCACCAGTACCATCACTGAGATTTTCATTCCTAGGCTCCAGGGAACAATGGGTACCCAAATATACCAATGCCAGGACTCATTACAATAGCCTCTGAGTACAGTAGGATCTACGACCACGAATATGAATAATGATTTTCATACAACTCACAAGCACAGAGGGTTTCTGCAACCCAGAGGTCACTAGCAATAGGATTCACACCCCTAGTCTCATGGGCACTGCATGATACACGCCCCTCCGGCACCAATACACAGATTCATCCTCCCTCTTCACTTGCCTTTGCCCCCTGGATGATAGAAATATATTTCATGTCAGTGATGATAAAGGCTGAGTTCACAATATAGTCAATACACTAATGACTGATGGTGGATGGGAAATGGCAGAGGGACTAGGATACAATTTCATGAGGCTACTACGCTCTCTCAAAAGCAATGCACTGGAAAGAAAATCAGGACTGTTCCTTTTATAATGAATAAAAGGAGACAATTAATTAGAAAAATAAAGATGGAGAAAGGCATAGAGAAAAAGGGTGGGGAAAATTCAGAAATGGGCAGACAGAAAGAAGATGGAGAGAGCTACAGTCAGAAGAGAAAAGAGAGAAGAAAGGAGAAGGACCATCAGGAATACAGGAGATTAGGGGAAAAGAGAGGTGATATAATGTGGCCACTCACTTTGTCTGGAAGATTTTCTGCTGGAAGGGGGGAGTTATCTCCGGTGCTGGTTTTTGGGGTGCTGCCCTTCACACTCCTCCTGTGGACTCCATCCTTAGAGCATTGCTGCCAGGCTCCAGCTATTCCAAGATATTTGGGAGATTTTGAGAGTGAGGGTATTGTGGATGAAGTCAGGAACCTGAGAGATAGAATGATCCACTTGGGACTGTCTTCCCCCTCCCAACCCCAGACTACTGGTATTATCCTAGGATGGGTATTTATCTCCTCCTCTCTCTCTTCTTTAGTAGCTAATTATTTAAGGTGTACCACTCCTGGGAGATATTGTTTTCTTCTCCTCTCTGGTTATATGGGAGATCAATCCCCCTTTCTCTCCCTAACTGGAGATCCTTTTTCTCTTCCCTTAAGATTCACATCCCTTTTGGATAGGCAAATCTTCCCTTTCTCTGGGGGAGTTCCTCTTGCTAACTGCAGATATTGTGGGCAGTCTCTTTTCTTTCCCCTATCGATGGCTAACAGGTGTGTCTTCCCCCCTTACATGGGATATTTGGGGTCAGCTTCTTTATGGGACTCGTGAGATATTTCCTTTCAGTGGGGGGTGCTCCTTGCCAGATTGGTATCTAGAATCCTGTTATCCAGGGGTGTCTCGCCCCCCCCCCAGCCTTGCTTACTTGCTGGGTACTGACTGGGTGCTAATTAATTACTGGGCAACTGTTTGGGGTTTTGCTTCTTTTGGGCTAAGTATTTGTGGGCAACCTCTGTCCTCGATGGATATACGGGGACTCTCTCTTAAAGGATCCCACTGCCTGGATTTGGGAGAAACGGGGGTGGGGTATCTCCTTGTCTATTTTAGATATGGAGGGAAGGGGGAGGGTTCCTCTGCACCCTCAGACGAGATAGTGGGGAGCTAAGGGTGTCTCCACGCCGGATGGCTATGGAGTTGCAGGAGGTCTCGCCCCGGCAGATACTGGGGTTGGGGTCGGGATCTGTCCCCGGGGCTGGGTGCCAGGGAGCTGCCTGTGAGGCTCTCTGCCCACGGCTAGGTTTCGGAGTCTCTCCCGCGGCGGGGGACGGAGCTGGCACCCTGGGCTGGCTGGTGGCTGTCCCTGGCGCCCCCAGGCCCCGGCTCCTC